AAACCCCTTTTAGACCTATTTCCATTTCACAATCAGTCATTGTGGATGCCTGAAATTCGTGGATCTCTTTGAAGACCAGATGGCTGAATGTCTTTATCATTACTGTAATCACAAATACATAAAAGCAAACCCCATTTGCGAAAGGATTCCTTGGAATTTTGAACGTGATCCATGATGTGATAACGATCCCCCCGAAGATTCGACGTCGGTGCTCTCATGGGGAGATTCGCAAAATGAAAGACGATAGAGATCGTTACGTGACGGTTTGTCTTATTATCGTAGAAAACAACATACTTTTTTTTATCTTAATAACCCTAACCCTAGACGTGACTATCTGTTTGAAAACCACTTATAATTTGCGTTTTTGTCAAACTAATCTGAACCTCGATAAATAAACAGACAACGCCTAGAACGCCCGCCTGGAAAAAGAATACATATATACTGAACATTTTTTTTTCAGAATTATATAGAATTTGTGGTCTTTTCCTGTATTATGTTGAGTTTAGACATACTTTTTCATAAACATGTGCAATTTTTGATACTGATTTTATATATATGTGTATCTTGGGTTCAGTCTTTGCTGTCTTTGTAGCGATACGTGTTTTTTTTATACCATAGAGGGACTGTGATATCTTCAAGTTAAAATTCCCGATAAACCAAATGGCGAAAGGCGCCATCTATGGCGGAAGCTGTGAAAATTTAGAACTTTAATACCCCCTTGGTGAAGCCTTGGTGAAAACACGTTTGATATAGAAATTAACCGTGGTGAACGTGACATCAGTACAGAGGACCAGTGGTTTTCGGTGATGTTAGTTTAGGATTGAACTCCGTTTATATTAAATACCTAATTTAAATAAATTGGTAAATTTGTAGCTGTTCTACATATCGGCAACAGTGCATTGACTAATTAAAGTCTCTTCCTTGTCCGCCTATCCTCGCCTCTATGGTTGTACGCGTGGGACATTTTTAGTTCATCGTTGGGGCGGGGGGGGGGGCTGTTTTTACTAGATTCTCTATTCACATTTATACAATTATTACTATCACTGAGACCCTGCGCTGTAGCAAACAAATCAAACATAACAACTCTTCTCTAAAGAGACTGAAGCCTGGTCTGTCTTCTGTGGTCTTCACATTCGTAAGAATACGGCATTTTGTGGTGTAAAGCCTTCATTTTTTTAGTTTGGCGGACATTTTTGAAATTATTTTGATCATTTTTTCTTCTGCTGGAAATGGTCTGAACAGTGGTCAAGTCATCGGTTTACTCTAAAGCGAGCGGATGAATCTATAGGGATATATTCATGTTAGCATGGTCGTAGGTGTTTTTATTAAAGATAAAGATAAATTGTTCGCTTTAACTTTTGAATTGTACGTTTCATAATACTGTGTAATGTACATATACATAATAAGTAGATAAACATATCAATAAAACATTGAATTCCCGAATGAGCATGGTCATTACTTTTATGTCACACGTGTTCAGTAAAGAGCGGAATGCCTTATTAGATAAAAT